CTAGATAAGCATGAGACATAACCCTCATTTATGTATGCGTGTGTCTTTATGTGCTAATTTAATCTGTGCCATAGCATGATTTTTCATTCATTCTTTCTACAGGGAGCATCTGATGATGCTTTCTTGTTGTGATTTCTTACAATGCAAATAAAATTACAAATTCTCAGTGTAAAAGCCTATGCCTTGCAGGCATCCTTTGATAGGCCAAAAAAATTAGTGTAGGAGCTTCAAGCAGAAGATAAGTTTCATCTTTTTGATTGGGTAAAGATGGCTTTAATTGCAAAAGCTTATCTTCCTTGAGTGTATTATTTTTTTCATGATATGTGTTCACATTCATTTTTCATCTGGAAAATTCATTCTAAGAAAAGCTCTCTCTGAGCTTTAGGTAATCATATATTTCATAATTAATTGATAAACAAATACTATACAAGAGCTTTGTAATGCTGTCATAATGCTTCAAAAAGCATAGAAGAGCTACAAGACTCGAAGAAACCTTGCAGATTGTGCAATTGTAATAGACGAGCTATGATTTGTCAGCTTACCATTGAGTCACTTCATGTAATTAAGCACTTTTGTTTGGAGAATAAAACCTTTTCATATTCGAGCTAGCATGAGAGCAGCCAAGTCAATATCCAACTCTTCAATTCAGTTCCGAGTTTTTCTTTTATGTGCTCTACTTGTTTTGTTAAATTTCTATTGTGAAGGGATTAATATCGTATAATTGCAGGTTGGAAAGGGATTGTCTAAGGACGAGAAGGCTCAACAACTTGGCATATAGCATAGGATTGAAGCTGTAAGTCCTCTGAACTATTTAAGTGATTCTTAGATTTGACATTGGCTTTTATCCAATTTTGACCTTCCCATTTATTCTTTTCTATGGTGCGGAGTATGTTTATAGTGGACAAACTTGTAAAAATGCTCTTGGCATTGATTTTACCAACAAAGCTGAACCATTGATGGATTTGCTTCAATAGGGCTTGTGATATTAATTATTACTCTTTTCTGTAGATTGATCTACACCATAGGTACTGGCACAATTTACATGTATATGACTAGACATGTAGATTTATATGTTAATTATGTGGTTGAAGGTCACTGAGGGATTGTCTCCCGTGCATAGAAATATATGTATTGATTCAGTATTAAACCAATGGAGTTAAACATGGAAATATCAATTAAACATGGAAATATCATAAACATGTGACAAACATCATTATTTTTCAACAAGTCCATTGAGGGTTGAAAAATTCTTTTTTAAGGGTTTTATTGTAGATGATACATCTGGTAAAGGACTTTTTGATGAACTTGTGGATGCTTTGAATAATGTATAACTTGATATTGATTATGTAAGGGGTCAAGTCTATGATAATGATACTAACATGAAAGGAAAACATAAAGGAGTTCAAAATAGACTATTACAACTAAATCCTAGAGCATTCGATAGTTCTTGTAGGTGTCATAATCTTAATCTTACACTTTGTGATATGGTCAATTGTTGTTCAAAAGCTAAATCTCTCTTTGGGATGGTGCAATGTACATACACTTTATATTCATCATCTACTGAACGGTGGAAATTTTTCGAAGAGGATGTAAATGGTCTTACCCTAAGCCTGGGAAAACCATATTGAAAGTGTTAAAGCGCTAATATTTCAAGCTCCACGGATTTAAAAATAAAAATAAAAATGCTTTACTTCAACTGGCAAATGTTGATAAAAAGTGAGGCTGGGTATTTGGCAACATATGAAATTGAGAATTTTGAATTCTTACTTAGGATGATTATTTGGTATGAAGTGTTGAATAATGTAAATAGAGTGAGCAAAAAATTGAAAGTAGAAGACATGAATATTGATGTTGCTATAGATCATTTAAAAGGGCTCATTTCATTTTTCAAAAGTTATAAAGAATTTGGGTTTGAATCGGCCATGATTGATGCTAAAGAGATTGCAAATAAATTATAAATTGAATTGATATTTAGTGAAAAACGAGTTATACATAGGACAAAGCAATTTGATGAAACTTTTTTTCAATAGATGACACAAACAGCTGAAAAATCTTTTAAGATCAATTATTTCATATATATAGTAGACCAAGCTCTGTCATCACTTCAGAATAGATTTGAACAATGTAAAAAAATATAGATTTTTATTTGATTTGAAAGGACTTAAATCTATTGATGGTGATAGTTTGAAGTGTTCTTGTATTAACTTTGAAAATTACTCGAAGTATAATATGATTTCTGATATTGATAGGATAGAATTATTTTCTGAGTTGAAAGTTTTAGGGGAAGAGATACTTGCAAAAATTATTGGAGCAATTGATCTATTAGATTATATTAAGATAATGAACTGTTGTTTTGCAAATTCTTGGATTGCTTATAGAGTATTATTGACTATTTTTATTACAATTGCCTTTGCTGAAAGAATTTTTTTTTAAAGTTGAAGTTGATTAAGTGTTATTTTCGATCTACCATGTCATAAGAGCGGTTGTATAGATTAGCTATGATCTCTACTGAAAAAAATATGTTGTAAAAACTTGATTTTAGTAGTTTGATTACTAATTTTACATCTCAAAATGTGATAAGATTAAATCTTTTGCTATTATAGTCTATCGGGTTGTGAAAGAAATTTTATTTTGCTACTCTATCTTTTAAATTATATAAAGTCTTCTCTTTAAGATAAAAGTGTTAATTATTTAAATATTATTACACTTGTAAAATACAATATTATGTTGAAGGGTCTCATAATAATTAGTCGCCTATGACTTTAAATTCTTGGGGACGGCCCTAGTTGACAATATTGTAAAAAGACGAAATATGCTATTGAAAATAAATATTAGAGAATTAAAAAGTCATTTTTAAAGATGGAGAATGATTTTGCTAGAGACTGAGTGGGTGTCTGGAGTCATTTTCATATTTTTTAATCAAACATTAAAAGTACTGGCATTGAATAAGACTAATTAATATAATAAATAATTTTATTTTTTTCATCTTGTTTTAACCCTATTACGAAGTGTGGATTTAAATGTATTAAGTCCCGTTTGGCCCTCATTAAATTTCATTTCATTGTTCTCTCTCTTATTTTTAACCACACAAATTTTCATAAAATAATATTACAAGTAAATCGAAAATCATTCCTTCTTTTTCAATACGCTCATTTAAAAAAAAAAAAAAAAAAGACAATTCAACCCATTATCATTTCAAAAAAGGATTATTTTATTTGTACTAAATCATGTGCAAAATGGATTACAAAATCAACAAGTGGCGGGCCGATCGGAGAGGAGAGAAGCGGTACGAGCCTTACTCAATTCATACTGAATTGCGGCTCGAATAGCAATCCCGTACATATAAGAATATAGTAGACAATAACGGGGGGTGTCCGCCCCTTACTCAATTCCCTCATAGAATTCAGGCTGTGGGGCCAGCCGCCCCTCCAATCGACAACTGTCACTTGTTGATTGTAACCCTTTTTGTATCTCATTTTGTACTCATAACATGATTCTTCAAAAAATGTGGGCAAAATAGGGGCTAAAATTTAAACAACTTTGCTTGGTATATACACTTTTACATCCCTCCCAGAATGAGGGGCCCATAAATATTTAATATACGTGGTCCCCTCAACATGTGACTGGATGGTATATCATGACGTACAAATGACTTTTTCTAAATTTGAACTACTTGTCCCACAAGTAAATTCTGACAAGCGTTGATTGCAAAGGACCATTGGATAAGGATGATATCTCATCCTTAAAAGCCGTAGAAGACGAGCCAACCAACACCCATCAGCTTAGCCGGCTCCTATCCGCTAACCAGTCAAACACTAATGCAAAATTACTACTTTATTGGATCATTAATTTATAATAAATTATGTAATATAATTCCATCAACACTAAGTCCATGTTTGACCTCCAATTTTAATTTTATTACATTTCATTTTTCTCTCTTTTATTTTCAATCACACAACCTTTCATAAAATAATATTAAATGTAAATCGAAATTTTTTTTTTTCAACCACTTATTTTTCAATAAAACACTATTTCAACCATTTTCATTTCCCCAAAATGAGGGCCAAACAGAGGCTAAAAAAATGTAATGAACATCGAACGTCTCTTGAATTATCATAGTCTAGATAATATAATGATAAAACATATTATTAATAAAAAGATTATTCAATGGATACCAAGAACGACATTATTTATACTATAACCGTATTTTACTAAATGTTTCTACTAAATAAGCGTTTAAACTTTTCGACTATTGTAACTTAAATAATTAGTTTTTACAAAATGAAAATTTTGAACCAAATGTGATAAATTTATTGAAAAAAAAAAAAAAAAAAAAAAAAGGAATGAGAATTAGCTCAATCTAAGTACAAAGAAAAGCAAACAACTTTAGACATATATTTTTTTCCCTTGTTTGTCATCTTTTAACAAAATAAATTATTTGTTACAATAATATTCTTCATCACATATTCACGCAATAAAATATTATACACACAAATCAATAATTTTTTTTTTTTTATATTTCAACTACACATTCTCAAAAAATTACTATTTAAAACTCTATATTTTCTTCAAAAATGGGAGACAAACAAGCTATGAAGAAAAGGTCAATTTAAAAAGAGAACTCGTCGAATAAAAAATTCCTTAATATTAAATGCCCGTTTGGAAGGGATTTTGAGAATTGATTTTTTGATCGTTAGAAGAAAAGTGGGGACCACATGTGAGAGAAGAAGTCAAAAATTACGACTGAAATAGTGAAATAACGATCAAAAAATTAATTTTTTTTGAATAAAAAATCCCTCACAAACAAACAGGCCATAATTATAAAATTTAATGTATTTTGATCGATTATTATTAATTTATTGCAGCAGGACCAAAAAGTTATAAATTTATTATTTTATCGGAATTATTAATTACGGAATTATCGAACATTAGGCAATGACCGTACGGTGGGCCTCTCTTCCTGCATTTTAGCAGTAGCAGGTCGTTTCTTCCACCCCACCCCTACTCATGGCAGTTGGTATGCATTTACTGCATGCACTTTCTCTCTCATCCCTCTCTTTCTCTACAGTAGTATCCAATAATAATCAGCGTCCTTAAAATTTCGTGCTGTTTTCTCAGAGATCCATGCCACTTTATTTCAAACCCAAGAATTTTCACCCAGTGAAACCCAGTTTTTTTCAATTTTGTTCTCGTTCTGAGTGCTGCTAGTCCCAATTGTTGGTACTTGTATAACAGGTATACCAATGGCTAAAGGTTTTTCATTTTGGCCCCTTTGGCTTTTAATCAGAATGATTGTTGTTCTTTCAAATTCTCGATTTATGCGCTTTACACGCGTGTAATTTTAATTGCTGCAATTTTTCAGGTACAATTTTTTCAAGTTGCTTTGTATAAAATTAAGAGGTTTTCCTAAAATTTGAATTAATTTATTTTTTAGTATCATTTTCAATTTCTATTGATATTATTGAGTACATGAGCATGTGTATGGCTTGCATTATCATCTTTAATCATTTGGGTAAAATCGGCTTTTTAATTAATTTGAACTAGTATTTTTACTTTTTTGAAGAAGCAATGCATAAACCAATAGAAGCAAACTGGAGAATTTTCCAGTTCACAGAGAATGACAAAATTAAATGTGTGTGTAAAACCCTCAGTTTTGAATTTATTTATTTATTTGAAGAACTAATTTGGAAATTGTTGTGTGTATTCATGTATGTATATGTTCATTTATTGTTATCAAACTGAATCCGTGAATAATACGTGATTCAATGCATTGGTGGCTCATTGTATTTATGTTACCATAAGATATTCATGTCAGTCCTTTGTCTCTCTCTGTATCTCTTGCTCATTCAAAGTCCCTGCCAGAATTTTATAGTATTGCTTAATATGAAGGCTATTGCATTTCTTTATGATTCACGCTCAATTTGACTTTCCAGGGTTTCATTTGGAATTTGGATTTTCTGCTTATAGAGATGATTTAAATCAAGATATTGCCTTTAGGCTGAAGTTTCTGGGTTTCTATTCATTATAGGACTAATCGAAGGTTTTGCATCAGTTTGGTTTTTAATTACTTGGTATGGGAATTGGGTTTTTCTTAATTCAGCTTCTTGATTGAGATTATGGCAATAGACTTGAATGCTATGTGAGTAGTTGGTAGTAATTGCAAAGCAAAAGCATAGGTGTTGTGGTTGATCTCCTCTTGCTCATTTAAGCTTACTTGAGAGTGAAAAAATGCTGGAGGCTGAAGTATGCTCGTCCCGGATTTTATCTCCTTTCCGTGAGGAAAGCTGCGATGAAGAACTCTCCGTTCTTCCGAGGCATACTAAGGTTATTGTAACTGGGAACAACAGAACAAAGAGTGTTTTGGTGGGTCTTCAAGGTGTTGTCAAGAAAGCTGTAGGACTTGGTGGTTGGCATTGGCTGGTATTTAACCTTTTGACCATCTTACAAATGATATGATCCTCTTTTATCTTTTTCATTTTCTTTATTTCATTCATGATTGTAAATGATCACTCGTTGTTTTTTAATTTTGTGTTTTCTCGGTTGAGTTGTTTGTTTGGGCCTGCTAATGATTTGTAACGTGATGCTTTCTTTTCAAATACATGGAAAGTATTAAGATTAGCATGCCAATATGAAATAGTAATGAACTCATATGTATGTAAAATTCGATGTGAGGAATCTGCAGCATTGGATCGAAACCACATGTTCTATGTATTCATGGAGTAGTTTCTTAAATCTAATAGATATAGTTTCTAAGTTTGGTCACAAACTAAAGAAATTTCCTCACTTTGCTTGAAAGAATAAAGTGCAATATGCCAGTGTGTTCTGTTCCTACATGCAGTTCTGCTTGATTGATAAGCCTTGCGGATTAATATTGGATCACTGGGGAAAAAAGCAAAAAAATAAATTCTTTCAAGAGAGATTCTCAAGGTTCTCTTTTAATTTTTTCTAGTTCTGGATGTTTCCATATTTTTATCTGGTGAAAATTAATTTTGCAAAGCAGGTGCACTTTACTTATAATAAGTGTTATTTATTTATGTGTTCGTAAACATGCTTGTGCGTATGTGTGTTGTTGTTTTTCATTTTCAAAATTGTGTTCTTGGATGGTTTATTAAGTCTATATATATTTTTTAAATTAGGTTTTGAAGAATGGGGTCGAGGTAAAGCTCCAAAGGAATGCGTTGAGTGTGTTAGAACCTCCCACCGGAAATGAAGAAGACGATGATTATGATTTTGAAGATTCTAGCAGTGGATCTGAAATTTGTCATAAGGACAATCATCGATTTTGTAAGTTGAAGCACTTTTATTGGGGGAACGTCACTAAAATTCTTTTTCTGGTGTTAATGTTGGTGAACAGTGCTTTTAAATTCAGCTCATTTTAAGAATATTATTGTCTCTTGAACAGCTACCAGTTTTCAGTTTGGCAAACTAAGCAAGCCTAGGATTCGCTACAGTAGGCCGTGGTCCCCAACTTCATCCTCAAAGTCAATAAATCGCATCAGTTGCAGAGAAGTTCAATCAAAATGTCAATCTCCTCTTCCGGTAAGCCCAATGGAAAAGGATGATAGGTTCGAGTATATGGGATAAAAAAAAAGTTAGGAAGTTGGATTGATGTTAGTTACTCTAAATGAATAGGAGCCACTCATATTAAACTGAGCCATATGACACAAACTTGGAAACGGTCCATTTTAAGGAGAAATGCAAAGATAGAGGAGAGAATGGTCTCTGGGTGGTGGGTGGCAGGGGGTTTTGCCAGGGTGGGTGGTGGAAGCTTATGGTGGAGGGACAGGTTAAAGAATTTTTTCCTTTTTCTGTTTCCTTTTGTTAACTTGGAAGAAAGGACGGAGGCTTAATGGCGTTTTTAGCATAAGCAGTGCTTTTAACCTTTTGTATCATGCTAGCTGTGCCTTTGTTATAATTATCGTTAATCTTATGCTGGTCTCTTGATAATATGCTGTTTGTTACGGATTTCAACACTAATACCTTGCTGTTTTTGAACAACTACGCATCTTAATTAGTTCGTTTATTGTTTGCTGTGATTATCAGAGAGTGAACTTGACAAAGTTGGGAACCGGATCATTGTGGAGATACTGGCGGAGCTTTAACCTTGTGGGTTTTATTAGCTTTCATTTGCTTTCCGGTTCTCTTTATTACATCACATATTTTGCTGAATGTGCATCTATTTCAATATCCGCACTCAGGCTAGTAATATTCACAACCCTACAAAGGAACAACTGGTCAATGCCGTGGAGCAGCATTTTTCTTCACAGGTACGAATATAATGACTAAAATGTATCAAAATTTAAGTTTAACGACCAACTTTAAACATAGTGAGGAGATCTAAAGCGAAAAAATACTCATGGTGGTTTTTATTGATGTAACAGGAAGTGGACGACGTACAAGTGATTGTTGGGTTTATCCGTGCAGCTGCGAAGAGACTAAATCAGTCGACTCGCACTGAGATTCGGGATTGATTTTGGAATCCATGCCAGTGTGCAATGTATACAGTATATATGCATATGAACTTCATCTTAGTTCAGTTCTAATTTATAGACTGCTAATTGAGATCCCAGATCTTTTCCAAGTGTGGGGATCCTAAATTACTAACCTTGTAATGCGGAGACACTTGTTCAATTGATGTTATGTCCTTAATTTCCTATTTGCATGTCTATATGTTTGAGTTCTTATGAAATGTTTTATCCTTATCAGGTTTGTATATTCACAAAAATTACTTGGAAATCCTGATCCAAGTTTACTCGAATCGATGTTCGGCTGGAGAAGATGGAAAGGGTCACAACTTACAAATGCACACAATAACATGTTAGAAATAACACTATCATGCAGAATCTCATTTGATTAATTTTAGTGAGATTAGGAACTAAATTGCTCATTTTTAGAAGTCATGGATAAACTTGTTATTGGGGCAATAGCTTGCTACCAATATATCTTCGTCTAGAGTGACTGCTCCGACTTGTTTATCTTAGTTCCCATCTGCATCCCAAGTTCTATGTAATCGGTTCCCTATTCAATTTCATATTCATCTATCCAATGTCGGATTTCAATCATTCGAGATTCTTGTTAGTAGTGATAATGTATTGAACGATTGTGTAACTCAAGTGTCTTGCAGCATGTTTGGTTTGAATTAAAATTTAATTTTAATTTAAGTCAAAATCAAACAATTAATATTAACATATTTTATGAGTTTCAAAACTTTTTAATCATACATTTAGAAAACTTCTATTACAATTTATTAAAAAATTTAATTTTAATTCCTACAAACACCCGCTTTTTGTCTTTCTCAATAGTAATGATGTGTTGTAGGGTTGCACAATCTCTCCACTAACCCCAAATCAAGTGCATGAAAAGGCCTCTTAGTGAATGTGATTCTTTCATGTATATAGAAGCCAGGCTGTCATTAGGTGTTGTGGGGTTGTCTTATTATAAGAATGGTGGATGTTGATATTGTGTGGAATGGGGATAGGGTGGGTGGGGTGGTGATAGGGACTAGAGGGAAATTTTTCAAGAAATTATGTAGTCCAATTCTTTGCTATAATTGAATGTCACTTTCCCTTTGCATTAAAATAGGAACAACAATCCCATAATTGGACCTACAAAGATTTTGTGGCAAAAGGATAGAGGGATTGCTTTATATTTGTTCACCTTGAATATTATCTTTGGACCCCTACACCCACGCCCTACCCCTTGTTTTTATAAAGATATTCTTTTGGTAATAATGAAATGAAGAATTTTTAGTGCATTACAATTCTAAAATATTATATTTTAGAATTATAAAATGCAACTTGTTTAATATCTTAAGTTAAATAGGCTTGCTAGTGATAGTTTAAGAATAATTAAAGTGGATTTTTTTTATCCTTCAAAATCAACAAAATAACAAATTATGCATTACTCCTATAAATTTTGGATCGACTTTAATTTTTTATTTTTTTTTTCTTTTGATCTATTCTTGATTCATTGCTACTTGGAAGATTCAATACAACAAAATTATTCGTAATTTGCAACTACCAAAAAAAAAACTTGTTAAATGAACATAATAGATAAAAATAGTTAAGAAAACATCAAGTTGACGCAGTAATTATTTGTGTTTTTATGTTAATGGTTATTTTTCAATTGCACCTCTAGACAACAAAATATCAAAACAATGACATATCAAGTATCATTTTATTAAATTTGAAGTCGACTATATTAATCTTTTTTCTCTCTTTTATGAGTTACTTGCTACATTTCCTAGAAATTTTAGTATAAAATTATTCACGGTTTGCAACTATAAACATCATGTTAAATTTGGTCTACCGCATCTTTTAAAACAAATAAATAGTTTACATAAAAAAAAAAATTCACTCTAACACAATGACAATATAGCAAAGACTTTTACTCTATGCATGTGCTGATCATGTTCTGCAGAAGGTTGAAAATCCACAATGATTTATGTTTCACATCCTTCACCCCGTAAAAATGTGTTTGATGCTATGATGATCGCAATGGATACATGTTCTTTTCCTTAACACCGGTAGAGGGCATTCTCAAACAATTCTAGTAATCACAGTACTCACTGGATGCTTGAAAATATGATTGATTTAGTTATATACTAAAATTAATTTGCAAACAAAGCATATTTCAAAAAGTTTTAATATGCTTAGTTTACAGTAGAAAGTATTGCTGAATGCCAAGTGCAAACTACTGCCAAGCAGCTTGGACATTTTTGCTTTAACACAATGATTCTATGACCGAACACAGTAAAACTTATTTTAAACATACCAGAATAATTGATACTCTCTTTATTTGAGTAGAATTAAATTAGCTTCCATCTGATTAAACCCTCATTTGTCCGGCCCACTGATGAGCATAGACTAGTACTCCACTGATATGTCCAGAGTAAGCATCCCCGAAGTGAAAGAACAGGCCAGATGGAAAGGAGAAGCAATATTTATAATTTATTCAGTTGTACTTGAGCATAGCAATTAACATAACCCATGTTTACATTATGGCCCCGTTTGGTACCCATTTTTTTCAAAATGCATTTTTCTCTCTCTTCTTTTCAAACCACACATTCTTCCTTAAAATAATATTACTCGTAAATCAAAAACTTTTCCTTATTTTTCAACCACACATTTCTCATCAATTTACTATTTTAAAATGAATTTTTGCATAAAAATGGCTCCCAAACCACCATCTATGTATCTTGTATAATCTATTTTTGATTGTTAGGTATGAGAAAATTTTCATTCTTACACGTCACTCTTTCATCTCAATTAAGAGGAAGAGATAAAATTTATGGGAACTGGGTTAAATGGCATGGATGTAAGTAGAAGAGATAATTAATGAATCGCTTGATCTATAGAATCAAGTGGTAGCTAATTACATTGGTTTTAAATGTAAGTATTTATTATATTATATATTTATTGAAGGGCAATCCAACTATTAGTTCTTAAATAGTAGAATGTAAGCTTTGCTGGTACATTGTCACCCTGGAATGGGTCAAGAATCACTTGTGGGGTCATACTGTATTATTGACTAAACTAGTCTCAAGTTGAAATAAAATTGTTTGGAAGGTTTTACTTCATTTCACTTATCTGTAATAACAACTGTTATGATCAACTGGAAAAAGTGAAACATCTAATAATGTAAGTGTATTTGAACTTTTCATGACCAGTGTGCTAATGGTCATTACATAAACTAATATATAAAATAAGCATAATAGTATTTTATTGCAATTTCAAGCTTTCTGCTTTATATTGGAGGGTTGATGTCTTTGTCAAACTTTTCAGGTTCTGCGCTGGGGGAAAGAGCAAAATGATCTAGACAGAATGAAGTTGAGGTTGTCTCAGCTATATCATCAAAACCTTGTCCAAGTAAGATTGCTCAATGAATAATTTTGTGGGTGTTTTTAATGCCTTAGATCCAATAATGAGTATTCCTGTTATTTAGCTCTCTGAACCAGTGGAGGGGCTAAAAGAATGGTTAGATTCTTTAGTTTCATTGCACATTCCGTGCGCTGTCGTTTCATGTCTTGACCGCAGAAACATGGTCGAGGCTTTGGAGCGATTGGGGCTCAAGAAGTATTTTCAGGTGCTGTTTCATCTCTTTTCTGTCAATGAGTTGTCCGATATTTCTAGAGTAGAAGATTTGATTATATTTCTTAAATTAGGAAATTTGATTGTACATAATTTTGTAATTCCTAGAATAGGAGACTCTTCCTCCGGTCGAGTTAGTAAACAGAACCCGTACCTTTCATATAATTTACCATAATTAGATACCTGTAATTCTTCTATATAAATGATATATAGAACCTCAATTTAGGCATTTGAAGGAAATCAAGGTATTAGAGCTCTCCAATATGAACTGAGTTCTTTTGGTATTTCGAGTGAATAAAGGGTTGCTTCCAGTTGGACAAGTCCTTTTAGTGAGGTTCATATGTGGTTTTGGGCACTAACCTGGACGGAAAAACTTCACCCAGCAGGTTTTGTTGATCGCTCTGGTGATTTCTTCTCGGTGTAAGGATCTTATGCTGTCGACAATCCTTTTTTGGGGTGTCGCAGAAATTGTTCTTCGAGCCATCAGTCTTGGGGCTTTCGGAGAATTTTTTTAGGTGTCGACAAATTCATGGGACTTTCGGCGAATTGTGTTTGGCTGTTGGCAAATTCTTGGGACCTTTGGCTAATTTTTTGTTGGGATTGGGAGTGCTACCGGAGACATGGTCACAATAATTTTGGTAGATGTCATGAATAATTGATGTTTTGTTGGGCTTTTCCTTGAATCAGGCCTTTTAGTTTTAATTGGTTCTTAATTATTTGATTGAGTTGTCAATTTATTTGGTCCGTTTGGTTGTGGGCTGTTAATTAATTGGATTGTATTTAGCTATCATTGTTTGATTGGGTTGTTGGTTGTATTTATTAGATTTTGAGTTATCATGTCACGAGAAAATTCAATTGTTCGTTTAATGGTGAAGACTGTCCACTTGGGAATTTCAATTCAAGATGCTCGTTAAGGGTAAGGAATTGTGGGGTCACATGGATGGATCGTTTCAAGCTCCTACCGATCCCAAGGAGCTTAGTTCATGGGAGAACAAGGATGCTCAAATTGTTTCTTGGCTACTAAGTTCCATTGAACCACATATGATCAACAATTTTCGTGCATTCACAACCATTAAGGAGATGTGGGATTACCTACAACGAATTTATTATGAAGATAATTTTGCACGAAAATTTCTATTGGAGTCGATATTTTAGGAAATCTATCGATTGAACATTTTTATACAGGCTTTCTTAATTTAGGAGTGATTATTTTGAGTTGATGCACTCTAGGGTTCCTAAAGAAGCGTTAGCAGCTTTGTAAAAGGTTTATTCTGAGAGCTAAAGGAAATAATTTTTGATGAAGCTACAACTTGAGTTTGAAGTGAACGCGTTCGGTTAATCAATCGCATCCCTGTATCTCCCTTGGATGTCTGGTTGGGGAAACTCTTACGTGAGGAACGTCTCGCTTCACAACTTCGGATCACCGGAGACACTGTTAGCACTGAGATGGTCAATGTGGCCTATGCAGCTCACGAGAAAGGAAAATCCAAATATTTGCAACAATGTCACAGTTGCAAGGAGTTTAGACACGTTCCAATAAGAAACTCTATAATAATTGCAAAAAGGAGGGCTATATTATCAGAATCGATTTGCTCCTGCTTTCCATACTACTGTCCAACCCAACTTTTTGATTGTATCTTCGGATCAGTTGGGTGCCCCAGGATCTTTGACTCTTACACCGGAACATGTTCAATAAATGATTATCTCCAAGGTAAGAAAAATCTAGTTACCTCTCCTTGATTAGTTGATTTCGTGGCTTCCAACCACGACTTATAATCCGTAATCTCTACATAATGTTCATAAGTATGATAGTGAGCAAAATATCCAGATAGCCAATGGTAGTACTCTTACTATTACTACAGTTGGAAATTTAGGTTCTTCTTTTACCGATGTTTATTTCCTGTTGGCCAATTGGTGGATGATAATTGTGCTCTTTATTTTGATCGTGCTAGTTGTCGTGTGCAGGATCAAGCGTCGAGACAAGTTATAGCAAAGGGGCCTATAGTGGGACATCTCTTTCCTCTCCAATCATTTTCTATTCCTCGTTCTATTTATGTTTGTTATTCTACTATTGTTATTGATGGCCATTTGTGGCATAAGTAATTAAGACATCCAAATTCTGTTATTTTGTCACATTTAATAAAACATGGTTTTTTGAGTAATACGAATGAATTCTCTTCATCACACTTGTCTTTCAATTATGCATCTTGTAAATTTTGTAAAAGTAAATCCTTATCATTTCCTTTTACGGGGTAGTCGAGCTTCTACGTGTTTTGAGATCATTCATACTAATGTTTAGGATACGAGACTTGTTCTTTCTCATGCTCAGTACAAGTACTTTGTGACGTTCATTGACGACTATAGTCGATTTATGTGGGTCTATTTTCTTCGTTCTAAGGCTGATGTGTTTTTGATCTTCCAAAATTTTGTTGCGCATATGGAAACACAATTTTCTACATGCATTAAGATCTTATGCTCCGATTTTGTTGGAGAATATATGTCCCGTGATTTCAATCTTTCCTACGACATAAGGGCATACTCTTACTACGTTCTTGTCCTTGTACCATCAACAAAACAATCGCTTAACGTAAAAATCGACATCTTTTGGATATCGTTCGTACCTTGCTACTTGAATCTTCCATTCCTACTAGATTTTGGGTGGAAACTTTATTTACAGCTTTGTATTTGATTAATTGTTTGCCATCCCTGACCTTGCATTTTGATTCCCCATATTATCGTTTATTTGGTATTTATCTTGATTATAATTCTTTACACCTCTTTGGATGTGTATTCTTTGTTCACTTACCTTCCACTGAACATCATAAACTTGTTGCTCGATGTGCATTTCTTAGGTATAGTAATTCTCGTAAAGGGTTTGTGTGTTATGATGCGGATACTAACAAGTTCTGTACTTTACGAAATGTTTTCTTTGATAATCAATATTTTTGTCCTTCTAATAACAATTCAGTTTCTTCTTCTATTTTTCTCCCTTCCTTTGATGATATATCTGGAATAGTTAACCATTTTAAACCAGATATTGCTACACAATGACGTCGCCCACTGCCTCTTGCTATCTCTAGTCTGACGCCTAATCTTGAAATACATGAGCTTCGTCGATCTACTCTAGTTTCACGGCCACCAGATAGGTATGGGTTTTCACATTCTGCTCTTCAGGCTACTTTTGGTAATTTTAGTGAGATTAGGAACTAAATTGCTCATTTTTAGAAGTCATGGATAAACTTGTTATTGGGGCAATAGCTTGCTACCAATATATCTTCGTCTAGAGTGACTGCTCCGACTTGTTTATCTTAGTTCCCATCTGCATCCCAAGTTCTATGTAATCGGTTCCCTATTCAATTTCATATTCATCTATCCAATGTCGGATTTCAATCATTCGAGATTCTTGTTAGTAGTGATAATGTATTGAACGATTGTGTAACTCAAGTGTCTTGCAGCATGTTTGGTTTGAATTAAAATTTAATTTTAATTTAAGTCAAAATCAAACAATTAATATTAACATATTTTATGAGTTTCAAAACTTTTTAATCATACATTTAGAAAACTTCTATTACAATTTATTAAAAAATTTAATTTTAATTCCTACAAACACCCGCTTTTTGTCTTTCTCAATAGTAATGATGTGTTGTAGGGTTGCACAATCTCTCCACTAACCCCAAATCAAGTGCATGAAAAGGCCTCTTAGTGAATGTGATTCTTTCATGTATATAGAAGCCAGGCTGTCATTAGGTGTTGTGGGGTTGTCTTATTATAAGAATGGTGGATGTTGATATTGTGTGGAATGGGGATAGGGTGGGTGGGGTGGTGATAGGGACTAGAGGGAAATTTTTCAAGAAATTATGTAGTCCAATTCTTTGCTATAATTGAATGTCACTTTCCCTTTGCATTAAAATAGGAACAACAATCCCATAATTGGACCTACAAAGATTTTGTGGCAAAAGGATAGAGGGATTGCTTTATATTTGTTCACCTTGAATATTATCTTTGGACCCCTACACCCACGCCCTACCCCTTGTTTTTATAAAGATATTCTTTTGGTAATAATGAAATGAAGAATTTTTAGTGCATTACAATTCTAAAATATTATATTTTAGAATTATAAAATGCAACTTGTTTAATATCTTAAGTTAAATAGGCTTCCTAGTGATAGTTTAAGAATAATTAAAGTGGATTTTTTTATCCTTCAAAATCAACAAAATAACAAATTATGCATTACTCCTATAAATTTTGGATCGACTTTAATTTTTTCTTTTTTTTCTTTTGATATATTCTTGATTCATTGCTACTTGGAAGATTCAATACAACAAAATTATTCGTAATTTGCAACTACGAAAAAAAAACTTGTTAAATGAACATAATAGATAAAAATAGTTAAGAAAACATCAAGTTGACGCAGTAATTATTTGTGTTTTTATGTTAATGGTTATTTTTCAATTGCACCTCTAGACAACAAAATATCAAAACAATGACATATCAAGTATCATTTTATTAAATTTGAAGTCGACTATATTAATCTTTTTTCTCTCTTTTATGAGTTACTTGCTAAAATTCCTGGAAATTTTAGTATAAAATTATTCACGGTTTGCAACTATAAACATCATGTTAAATTTGGTCTACCGCATCTTTTAAAATAAATAAATAGTTTACATAAAAAAAACCACTCTAACACAATGACAATATATATTTTCTTCCACGATTTTAACGTTTTACTATTGCCTCCTCATCGAATGAAATAATGATTGGCGAACCACGTGAATAACATTTTTCTATAATTGTCTTGTAGTGTATACGTATTAGGAAAGCTACTTCAAAGATTTAACTCGAATCTTTTGTGATTAATCGTCTGTCAAAACAAAGTTATACCCTTAGCTCGAGTAATCTCTTACTAAGTGTGCATGAGAGCAACTCAATGAATAAGAATTTGGTCTAATCTGATCTGAATTTAGGCATGGCCCATCTCTATATTGTTAGTCCAAATTTTTCTTCATTGTGATTTTTTATTCAAACCAAAAGAAATGAGTTAATTGATGTTTTACCTTTTATGAATAGCCAATGAGATAAAAATACTTTTCAAATGTTGTAGTAAGTTACAAATTTTCTAGCACTAATGTCTAATCTACAAAATTGCTAAAGGGATTAGATTTTGAATTATTAAAATATATAGTACTAATCACTATGTATCATGAAAATTTGGTCCCAACATATAAGCAATGATCAATAGCTAATTATCATTAAAATATAATTATGTCACCATAATAGGTATGTTCATCAGTGGAGGTCAAAATAAGAAAAACTTTTGAAGAAAAAGACAAATATATCATAACTTAAAAACTCTTCATCAACTTTATTATTTTTTCTTTAGGTGCTGATCACTCGACCGAGATCGTTCAATCTGGATGTATTCTATATTTCATTCGCTTTTCTTTCACATCGATCAATCAGACACTTGGAAGTATGAACATCAATAACTACAAACTTGATTATTTTGTCCTTAACAAATAAGTGTTTGGGCCAATAAAATTCAAACTTGCATCATTTCGATAATCGTAGTCGTCAACTACTAGAGTATCCATTAAAAAAAAAAAAAAAAAAAAAAAACCTTCTAAGAGATACATTGGAGAATTTTAACATATAAAAAAAATAAGTTTTTTATATAAAAATTATCGAGCAAGGTAATGGGCCCACGTTATAGCCCAAACTTAATAAAGTCCAAAGTTGTATATTGGATCCCAAATTGTCTCCTACTGTCAGCCTTTGGTTGGGAGATCCAAACCTCGGCCCAACTAAATCTTTAAAACATAAATTCTCGAGTGAATTGGCGGAAACAGCACTAAGATAGAGCATATGACAAACATTGTGTAACACTATTTTACAGATTTTCAAATGACAGTACCTTTGTAAGAATCATTGCATCACAATTTCATTAAACATTTTTAGCACCTTCGATATTGTCCCTCTTTTTTACTTTCCTGTTTGTTTGATTCTGTTGACACATAAAAATTCAGCCCAAATCAAATGGCCCAAGGAATGAAGCCCAATTGGAGAATCCCCAAATCAGATAGCCCAAAGAACGAAGCTCAATCAAACAATTCAAGATGAAGGCCCAAATAGGGAGGCCCAAGAACGTGGTAACGCCATCGCCCAAGATTGCAAGTCGCCCAGAATCTGAGCGAATGGAGTGTCGTGCAGTCGCCCAGAGCTATTACTCTATTCTCGCCAAAACCTTCAAGTCGCCCAAAGTCTTAACAAACATAAAGCGTTGTGGTTATCAAGAAGTGCAGTTATCAAAGCAGTTAGTAAAGCAGCCCCATCACGTTCCACGATTCAAGGAATTCAATCGAAAACGGTTGAACGACGAAAAGTAATGGCAGCAGTTAAATAAGGCAGTTTTCATAACAAGCTGGCCATTATGAGGAAAGTTGGCAGTTGTAGAACGATCAAGTAGTTTTTAGGCGATTGATCACAAAGAGATCGTCGATGAAGTATAAAAGGGAGAAAAGATATACAGCAAAGGACCGAATCAAAAACTCTCGAACAAAAAACATGTAATTTTAATTTCCTTAGTTTTAGACTTAAACGCCCTTTTCAGTAACTCGTGTGCTTGCGCCCCTTGGAGGCACTTTGTTTTCGATTTCCAATTGTAAAGTTATCGCCAATAAAAGAACACCCCTTTTTGGGATTTTGTCTCAAGAGGTTTATCCCTTACACAATCGTCTGATCCCTTTTTAATTGTTAGCGACTAACCCGCGCGAAACAATTTGGCACGTCCAGTGGGACAGTGGTGTTTGATGTTGAAAGTACAAAAAGTGAACCAATATGCCTCATAGATCCGATAAGGAAGCAGCAAGTCCGGGAGGAATCCAGTCTGTGATCGAGCGATATGAGGAGCAGCATGCCTCTCCACGAACAGATGGACAGAACCAGAGCAGTAACAGTCGTTATGAACCAATGACGGAGTTGAGTCCTCGAACCATGCGTGCATTACTTGGAGAACTCACACAAGACGTTGTTGAACAGGTAAATCTTCGAAGTATTCATAATATGGAAAGATTTACCCAAAATGGGAATGCACACTATGACAACATGACCAAACAACTAAATACTTTGAACGAAACAATGAATAAATTAGTACGCCAAATATGTCAGCCGGTTATACTCTTGCAAATCACTTTCAAACTAGGACAATTGTGGGACATAATCCCTCAGTCCTAAACCCGAATCAAGGGGTAGAACCACTTTCTGGTCCCTCTACTTCAAACCAAGGGGGTACTTCAGTGCCAAATTAAAACAATGGTAGAGGTACGCCTAACTTGAGGGGTAATCCAAACATAAGAGATAATGTTTTAAACAATGGACAGAATACCCCATGTTTTAATGAGGGAATAGATGTTCAGGCTAATGGTAAAGGCCCTAATCATGGTAACTTTGTTGTCAATCAAGGACCAAACATCAGGCCTCATGCAAATCAACCGGTTAACCAGCCTATAGGAATTTCATATGACCCCAACGTCATGTTCAGAAATCAGATTATGGAAATCGTACAGGATCAGATGGCTTTTGGGGTGCGTCCCGTCATTAGGCCGACATACACGAAGCCATATCCTGATTGGGTAGACCAAGCATATCCATGGCCTAGAGGGTACAAAGTGCCAGAATTCTCACTGTTTACCGGTTTAGGAGAGGTGTCTACTCTAGAAACATAGGGCGATTCACATTGCAAAGTGGTGATGTAACCGATTACCATAAAATGAGGCTTTTCCCTAGTTCGTTAACAGGAATAGCTTTCTCCTGGTTCATCAACTTGCCAGCGAACTCTGTTCAAACGTGACAACAATTGGAACAGTTATTTCACGCTCAATTTTATAAAACTGAGTCTGAAGTCACTTTGATTGATTTGGCGAATCTACGTCAAATGCCAAATGAATGGGCAGAAAGTTCTTCCAAAATGTTCAAGACAGCAAGAAGCAAGTGTTTTGTACCTCTACCCGAAAAAGAATTTGTCAAAATCGTTTAGGGCTGCTTGAGCTTTGATTTAAAAAAGAAATTCCAAGACAAGAAATTTTCTGACCTTTTCCAGTTGAGTGCGAATGTGATTAGGTATGAACGAATGATAAGAGAGGAAGAACAGATGAAAAATTCTAGTAAAGGGACTTATTACAAAGACC